AGGGTCATCATACAGAGGCAACAAAATCATAAACTTGTAAATTGTTTCACTCCTCAATACTGAAGATAGGTTATTATATATTTAAATAAATACACAGAGTAAAATGTACAGATATAGAAAATAATTTGACCAAGTAACAACATGTGCTCCACGGCTTTTAAAGACTGATAGTACCATTATCATTAAACTGGAAGCCATATATTGTCCCTATTAACTGTTTAATACTGTTTAAATTTTTCATAAGCCATGGTTGCAAAATGTGGTCAATAGAACCATTTATCATCAATATCAGACCACAAGACATTTCAGAAGAGATCGTTTCTTATATTAGTGAGTTACAGTTAATGTAGCATTTTACTGGAAATTCCAGCCTCTAAAAACAATTACAAAGAAGTTTTAAAAAACAATTACAAAGAAGTGCTCAATCAAAATATTCATTCTGTTGGGTGAAGCATTTCCTTACCAAGGCAGTATGTAACCTTGAAGCAATGAAATAAGAACCAAAATGACCAAGCATGTTCTGTTTGCTAGCTAGGCCTCCGCTGCTCAGTCCCTTTATACTGTACCACATGTATTTATGTGATCTGACTGCATCCAGTCCAGGACATACAAAAGTAATTAGCTTTACCTTGTCTTCAAATGCTGTAGAGAAGGAATCTGTTGAGAGACACTGGTCAGCTGGCCTTCATACCAGAGGATCCTTAAAAAGAAGCACCAAGAATGCCACAATTATATGGTAAGAAATTTCTGCACTGCACAAGGAGCCATGGAAAAACTAGTATGTATTTATTTCCCCTTTATAACGTCAGACACGGTGTAGGGGCATGTGTCCTTATATAATAAGGAAAATACATGCTCCTCGTGAGGTGATGAAACAAAGAGATTTATTTCAAATTTGGCGCTGGTTTTATCCCTTAAAACCATGTGACTTCTTTGACCAATAAGGTTGTCTATGTTGGCGAATGCTCCCTCAGGCACTCTTGCCCTGGTACATCCCCTGTACCTTAAACACGCCCCCTACATGACTCCCCTCTTAATTATCTAAGGAAGTCACGAAAACAGTGCAAAAACAACAGTGCAAACAATCAGAACAGTACATTGTAAACCACCAAAGCTCGCAATGACCCAGCACATCGCTTACTTTGGCCCCTTGTACTTCTACTGTAAACCTTTTAAAACTTTCTTATATTCCTATAGGGTAGGGCAACTTGGACAAATAACTTTATTAACTTAGGGGCCTTAGCCCAACCGTGTATAAACTTATAACCTTTATTAATCTGAGGGTTTTTAAATAACTGGGGAGTTCAAACTTTATTTAAAAAACAGGCTAAGCTTAGCAAAACTAAATTCTCTTAAAGTGACCTTGTGGTGGAGGTAACGTTATTTTGTGAGGTGTTTTGTGTTTTAATATTTGTCCAGTCAAACAACTCTTTTATTCATTCACTCTTCTCATTCACCGACGGCCGTCATTCACTCACATTCACACACGCACAGATACTTTGCAGACTGCTTTTTACCACATTGGTCGTTCCTTAATGTAAACCTGAAACATAAACATAACTCTTTTAAAACTTCTGTGTTACTCTGGTTCCTGCTGCTGTGATTGTGTACCTAAGTAGGGTTTTACACACCTGGAAGGAATCCACTTAAGTTCTTTTCCTGTAGCCACGCAGGCGTAACCTCTCCCCCAAGTCATAAGATCTAGGAGGTCTTGTCCATTGTCCCGAAATCAAATCCTTTACCATGACCAGTGGCTTGGGAGAGGCAAACGCCTGAGATTTGTGCTGCTTTTCGTACCTGCTTCTTTCAGCACTGTCACAATTTAAAAAATTGATAACATATGTGGCTTTCCACAAACGTTCCTGTGGACTATACAGATTCTCCCCCCTTTTTTGTTTAGCTAACATTTCTTTCAGTGTGCGGTGTGCCCTTTCTACAATTGCCTGTCCGGTAGGTGAGTGTGGGATTCCTGTGACATGTGAAATTCCCCACTCTGATAGGAAATTTCTTACCTTTTCTGAGATGTATGCCAGTCCGTTATCGGTTTTTATTTGTTTTGGGGTACCAAGGGTAGCAAAACAACTGAGCCAGTGTCTCACTACATCCTTGGCTTTCTCACCTGTGTGTGCTGTAGCAGTTATGTATTGTGAATGTGTGTCTACAGTTACATGTACATATTTTAATGTGCCAAATTCGGAGCTGTGTGTGATATCTGTTTGCCAGATCTCATTTGCCATTAACCCTCTGGGGTTAACACCTTCCTGAGATGGCATGGGTGTGATTTTCTGACAATCTGGACATGTCATGATAATGTTTCGAGCCTGATTAGGACAATCTCTTTGAAAGTGGCCAGGGGCACCACAGATGTAACAACCACTTCTGGGTCTGGCTCCCTCCTGTGCTCTTAATTGGGCACTCAGAGTTACTGCTAATAAATCAGTCTGATGTGCCATTGAGCCAACCCCTTGACAGGCACGAACCAGTTCTGCAATGTTACAGCTCTCCCTTTTAGGAAGGGTCTGTAGAACTCTTTTACAGTCAGGGTTCGCATTCTCAAAAGCCAGCTGCCTGCTAAGTATTTTTCTGGCTTCCTCATTTTCAATCTGCCTATCTAGGGCAGATTGCAGCCAATCCAAGAATTGGGTGTATGGTTCTGTTGGACCCTGCATTATTTTTGTAAATGATAAATTGGTATCTCTGTCTGATGTAGGTAATGTCCTCATAGCCCGCATTGCATGTTTAGCTATTACCTCATATACTTCCCTATTGTACCCAGTTTGAGAGTCTATTGAACGGTAATTACCCTCCCCAGTGAGTTGATGTGCTGTTACATCTGCTTGTGGGTCATTGGCATAAGCAGAGCAATTCTCCCTAAAATCGGTCAGCCACACGTTGTACTGGGTGTTAGTAAGACTTATTTTTAATAGGGTCCTCCAATCGTGTGGCACAAAAATGTAGGTGGAACTCAGTGTCTCTAAAAATGCAAGGGTATTAGGTGAGGACACGCCAGTTTCCCTTATTAGTTGTCTCAGTTCTTTTGTTAGTTCGTGTGGTAAAGGTTGGAATCAACGGTTCTGACGTGGGCCAATAACGACAGGGCATGCATTTATTACTTGCAAGTCCCCCACTCATAATGCCTCCTCTCTACACAAACCCCATCTATCAACCGATCCTTCCCCGTTTGCTACCTCGCTCCCTCCCAACAGAACCATCCCAAATTCCTCCTCCTCATCCCCCCATTCCTCCCCCCCCCGTGGCCTCAGTAAATCCGGTTCCCTGTGGGGGGGTGGTGGTGGGTGATGGAGGCAGCGAGGGGGCCAGGTTACCCCCCCCTTTGTGCCTATGGGTAGGGCAGGGCAGCACTGGGGCCAGAAGAGATGGGTCAGTTTCCAGTCCATGTGGTGGGCAAGATGGTGGCACCCATCCCTGGGCACGGGGTCGGCGATCATCCACGGTGCGGGGTGGCAAATATGCTGGGTTACCCCCCATCACTATTACGGGGCCCTCTGCGCTGGTCCCATGGGCTGGGATCTTGCATCACAGGCCCTGTCCCTTCCCGCCGACCTGCGTCCCCTTGGCTCCCAGTTCCTGACCCAAAACTTAAGTCATGAACAGCTCCTCTCCCTCCCCCCGCCGGACTTTGTGCGTTTGAGTTCCTACGCCTAAAAGTCGGGCTGTTGCCAGCAGCGTGAGTGGGGGGGTGTGTGTTGGCGTTGGATGCATGTGTTGTCCGTTCGTGTGCTTTGCTTAGTGCAGACATTATGACTTGTCAGGTTGGAAAAGCATTGTTAGCTTGGGGGTCTCCCCCCTGGGCTTTCAGTTTTATAAGGTTTCCTATTTTGTCCCATATATCTATGCGAAGGGCTTCAACTAATAGCAGTTCAGGGGACAGCTGCCTTAATAAAGCGTACAAGTTCTGTTAGTTCAGCCCTTGTGGTTTGTATGTGATATGGTTTTAGCAGGATAGCCAGTGCATCTGTGTCCTGTGATATTTCAGTGGGGAAAAAATTTCCCATTTTACCTTTAAGTCTCGGCGCTGTAGACGTGCGCTGCTGGAAAGTCTGTCTATTTGCTGGCTTCTCCTGGTTTTCGGTCAACTGGGAGGCGGTTGGCGCTGTTTCTCAGTGGCTGAGGTGGGTTCGTCTGCGGCGGGCGGCAGAGGCGGTGGCTGCGGGCGCGGGCGGCAAGCGGCGGCAGGCAAGCAGCGGGCGCTGGTTGCGAGTGGCTGGCGAGCGCAGGCGTGGGTGGCTCGGCGCGGAGCGCAGGGTCCAGGGGCTCTCCAGTGGTTTGGGAGTGATGAAAATCAGCAGCGATCGGCAGCATGCGATCCTAGCGCTAGTGCGGTGGCAAAAAGCGGTGAAAAGCGGCAGAAAGTTCCTTTTGGGCCTCCGCGGCTTCTGAGTAGTTTTTCCTCGGCTTGGAGGGTCTACGTTGTCATCACAGACAGGCAGGGGTCAGCAGGAAGCGGCAGGCTGCGGCAGTGAGCTGCAGCACTTTCACTCCGGTTTGCTCTCTCCGACTGCCTCTATCTGTCGTTTTTTTCTTTTCTTCTTTCTTCTTTTCTTCTTGTTCCTGTGCACTTTTCCTAATATTTTTGGAGCTCACTAAACTAGGATTGCGTTTCTCAGACGCTCTGAGACAACGACTTAAAGACGTCTGTGTTTTTTGCGGTAAAAGATTCCTGCATCGGATTAATTGACATGATAATCGGAATCTACCGCTGAATTTCCTGATTCAGGGTAAGCTAAACTGACTTAATATAAGTTCAAAGTCCCAAGTTCGGGTGCGCCATATGTATGGGCATGTGTCCTTATATAACAAGGAAAATACATGCTCCTCGTGAGGTGGTGAAACAAAGAGATTTATTTCAAATTCGGCGCTGGTTTTATCCCTTAAAACCATGTGACTTCTTTGACCAATAAGGTTGTCTATGTCGGTGCATGTTACCTCAGGCCCTCTTGCCCTGGTACATCCCCTGTACCTTAAACACGCCCCCTACAACACAGAACTACATTTTCATGGAAATAAGACAGAAACAAGAAGGTAAATCTGGTGGGGCATTTTTAATTGCAGGGTACAAGAGATCCACACATTATAGAACAGATATGAGCCAACCGCACTAGCGAAATTATATACTGACAGAATTCTTAGAAACGTCATACTTTATCTGTAAGTTCATCTATTAGAACTGTACGACAATTTCAGGTTTATATTCATTTATTTTAAAATTGGATATTCTTCTACTTCTCAGGATTTCCAAGAAAGCTAATACATAACAAAAATTAAAAAATAACCAGAAAGAAAATATTATTTTTTAGGCTTATGATTTCTAAACCAATCACACTGCTTTGGGCACACAACTTCACTCATGATTTTTGGTAGTATTTGGAATAAGTATTTGTAATTCGCTTCTTTAATAGCATTGGTAGCTTTTGACTGGTGTAAAGTACTGTTACTGAAACAGGAAGCAAAGAGAAGTCTAAAAAAATTAAATATATACACACTCATATATACAGTTAGGACATGCCAGAATTTGCTTTTAGTTTATTCAGGAATTGACTCTCAATTGCTTCCAGTGCCTAATTTAACTAGAAGACTTATTTCGTAAACAGTACCACCTGTGCTTAGCTAAGCGCTAACTAATTTCTTTGCTAATTCATTCCTGCCTCCTTGCTATATATGACTCAATGTTATTGAGATTGTGAAAAAATTCACAAGACATATTATGTTGAGTGATTCTCTAAACAGAACATTTAAGACCACTAGAAATACCTTACCTATTCAGATCAGTGGTTCAGATCCTAAGACTCTGTCTCCAATAGCTGTAGTATAAGTTGCTATTCAAGGAAAGCACAAGCATCTGGCTGTTACATGCAGTCTATTTCCCTCATACTCCCACAACATCTAAGGTCGTAATGTTATGGGTGTTAGAGAAGTGTCCCTAACCTGTTTCTTCAGAATCTCTTTATGGAGCTTTTGTTCATTAATATATCTTGTCCCTTTTTGTCCTAGATGACATCCATCTTTCTAGTCATTCTCCTCCTAGTTTGAGCACATGGTCCTGTTTAAAATATAATGTAATCTAGTGAATATAATCCACTTTATGCTCCACCTTGAAGACTTTATAAATCTTAATCATATACTTCTTAGTCTTCTCATATTCAAACTGAACTTCTAACATTTTTAGTCATTGCCCATAAAGCAGCTTCCCTCTCCCTTTTATCATTTCAGCTGCCTTTGCTTGCTCCTTCTCTCCTCATTCCTCCCTGAGATGAAGAAATCAGAACTTATTGAAGTATTGCAATAGTGGGTTTACCAAGGCTCAATATGACACCACTGCTTATCAGATTTCTCATGTTAAAAAAAAAAAAAAAGTGCTGTTTAAAGCTTACTGAATATCCTGAAACCATGGGACAGATAAAAAGCCAGATTTCTTCAGCATGAACTCTCTTGGTTCTGTATATTTATACCACAAAATTTTTTTCCCTAAAGCACAGTGTAGTCAGGATTCAAACAAACTTAAGATTGATTAAGACTTACGGTATGGAAGACAAAAATCAAACATTTTGCCCTAAAAAAAGACCAATGACTTCTAATTATGATTTCTTTCAGTGATCACAATATGCTAATGACAGCTGAGCAGTACAAGCTAAGATGTGTGAATTAATGAATTATTTGACAAGCAGCTGTATTTCACTTAACAGGAAGCATTCATTTCCCCTCAATGAAATCAACTCCTTTGCCCAACTTCAGCAACTAAAAGCAGAACTCTAAGGAAACAATTAACACTGCCTCCTTCTGGTACTTAAAAAGGTGTTTTTGTTTACGTGTCCCCCCACTCTGCAAGACAGCACTCCATGCAATAATTATAAACAGTGAGAATGGAATATTGGTTTGGAATATTTGTTTTGCATTTAATTCCTTGGCACTTCAGGAAATTCAGTACTCTGAAAATTATACTCGGCTCAGAGATCACTATACAAAAGTTTTTTATTTTAATTTTATGAGTCATACTTCAGTTTCATGCTCTCTCTGACTCATTGTTTAAATTCTACAACTGAAGAACTGTTGAATAATCGAAGAATAGTTATTGTCTATAAATTCCCCTAACATTTTTATGTCAGCTCCAGTCATCTGGTTTATTTTTTAATCTCTTCAAGAACAGATTTAAACTCTTCTTTTTGTGTCAAGATAATAGAAGGAGATAAAAAATATATGCTTTCATCCTCTGGTTTTTCACATTTCAGGAATAACAAAATACAATATTAATTCTTTTCTAAGTTTTATCACTAACAGATTCATATTATAATATTCCTTACAGCTTGCTGCAAAGGACTACATGTTATACAAGAAAACAGTAATTACAGTTTTTCTACAGATTATTCAGGTGGGTAATTTCCAAAAAATATTGCACTGAGATACATTTAAATGGGTTTAAAATGGTTTTTTACTTCTGTCAAGTAGTGATTTACTAGTCAGCTGTCCATCAGATCCTGATCTAGTGACAACCAAATCTAACAGTAGTTTCTCTGTACATTTTTAGGAGCAAATAAAAAGGAATACAACTACTAAATATATATATCATCATACATTTTTCAAATGCTAAGTATTTAACATATTTGCAATTAATATTGCTTTGTCTATTGGAATTTGCAAAGAATAGTACTGGTGAAGGGAGCACTTTGTTTATAGTTGTCATCAGCAAAACTTTTAAGAGCTGAATTCACTAGTCACCAGAATTCAATTCCTAGTCTGCATCAGTCCAATAGTACTAAATAGCTGGATTTCTGAAGCAATTTCTGTCCATGGCAGCTCTGTAGGCTACACGGTTCAAAATCAGTAAAAGGTGGTCTGTCCTCCCAGCAACTTCTGGACCTCTAACCTTCCTGACACTAGATATCCTCCTGGATATCAATATAAATCCTGGTGGTGATCTCCAGCCAAAATCTAGCAAAACATTTCCATACTGCAGAAAGATACCTGTCAAAAAACCCTGTTCCTATTAAAATTCAAGAATTCTCACCCTATATTCTGAATAGATATGTTTAGTAAATTTCCTAGAGTATACAATATTGAAGTTAAAAAGGCCTGACGTATTTTGCCTTCAAAAAACTTTCTAGAGCTATTGTTTTCTGGTCAAATAGTATGCAGAACAGATCTGTCCACATTGTGAAAAGAGAGAGAAAAGACAAAATACCAAAAAGTTGCCTAAATATTTTTTTTAAATTCTGATTGAAATTACCTGTTAAAATTTGAGGAGATGCAGTTTTCATTTCCCTTTTACATCGAACCATTGTAACATAAAAAGAGTTTTTAAACATCTTGTCTTGGAAGTTATGCTCAACCTAACTATACTTTGCATGTGGCTCTATGTCACTAGGCTGCTGCTTATCCATTATAGCCCTCATCTTCATGATGAATCACAATTTGCCAAAACAGTAATATAAATGCAATTTATGTTCTACCCTCCCTCTTTATGATTAATTCTACTAGTGGTACAAATTTGCATGAATGAATGTCAGTGTGTTTTCTGCCCTGAACATTTCCTGCTGGCTTCAATTCAGCCCTGCTGACATTTATTACAAATAATAGCTAAATATTCTTGATTTAATGGCTGTGGTGGCCCCACATCTGAAGGTGATGTCTGTAATAAAAGCAGACAAGACAAGCTTATAAAAAATACTAATCAGATTGTGTTTGCACGCATAATGGAAAGGCCTCACAGACATACCAGCAAAATGGAATGACAGCTTTTAAAATGCAGCTGCTCAAAGTCAAGAGTTCAAGAACATATCACCTGCTTTATATTTTGTCCCTCTCCATTCTTTTACCACCTCTCTAAAACACATGTGACAAGACAGCCAAAAGGGTCAAAATTTCAGTTTTGACCCTCTTTATGCAAATAACAATGAATACCATAAATCACAGTGTAGTCATACCTACTATCATTGCTAATTCTTCTACCAGAAAAGCATGAGGAACTAGAGGGATTTGTCACCATCAAGTCAGACCCACATCTTCAGAGTCATGTTTATCCTAGGTTAATATAAACCTTGTTAAAAGGCTTGATTTCTACCCCCCATGTTCCCTGAATGCAAAAATGTTCTTGTCTTTAGACAGCAAAAAAAAAATGTTGCCTGCCAGAAGTACAAAGCAGACGAGAAAACAATAGCTGAAGAAGTTTTGCAAGATGTACACATATTTATCACGGAAAGACTGAAGAAAACACAGAAATAAGGATACTACACAGGTTTACTGCTGAGAACACAGTCAAATACTTTTCCCTTTGACCTGTGAACGAACAGCTACAACACATCAGGGATGATAAAAATTAACAGGGCCACTTCAAGTTTTAATCAAGCAGCAATATCACCTTCTCCAGAATATTCTAGAAAGGATACTACAGCATCCAAATTAAAATCAGTAAGGCCACTGCCTGTAGGGCTCTGAAGGGGGTGGTGGTGTAGAAATAAATTATACCAATCATGCTTTTTAGGAGTGCCTCACAGCACTGTATCCTTTGCTTTCCCTTAGTATTATCACCATGCAAATCGTTTAAGGAGCAATTTTCTTCATCACTGTTCCAATGACTGGAGGTGAGGCTGACTGGCCTGTAGTTTCTCAGATGCTCATTCCTACCCATCCTGAAGACGGGAGGCTGTCTCCTAGTCTTCAGGAACCTCTCCCTAATGCCATGATCTTTCAAAGATAATCGAGACTGGCCTTGCAATGACATCAGACATCTCCCTCAGTACTTCTGGATGCAAAAAATCAGACCTCATAGACTTATATACATCAGATATAAATCAGATATACTTATACACATCAGACCCCATAGCTTGTTTTTATTAAGTGCTCCTTAACCTGCTCCTCTTCCACTCTAGGCTCCAGACTTTCCCTTTGGTCTCAGGGTCTGGGATTCCAGAAGGTTGATTTTACCTGTACAGAAGGAGACAGAGAAGGCATTTAGTACCTCACCTTTTTTCTATGCTGTTTGTCATCAGTATCCCTGACCCACTCAAAGTGGGCCCTTGCAGCTCCCTTGCTTGATTGCCTACTTGTCAGGAGGGAAACGCCTTGAGCTTGGAGAAGGTGATCCTTAATAATCAACCAGCTCTTCTGGACTCTTATCCTCTCCATAGACATATCCCATGGGATTCTTTCAAGAAGATCCCTGAAGAGGACACAGTCTGCTCTCCTGAAACACCATGCTGTGTCCTTGTAGGATGGCGAACCCACAATCTTATGGTCACTGCAGACAAGGCTGTCTCTGACTTTCACATACATGACCAGTTCTTCCTTGCTTGTAAGCAGCAGGTCCAGCAGAGCACCCTGCTGTCTTGGTTCCTTCAATTACTCATCAGCCACATGCTCTAGAGAGTCTCCAAGACTACTTGAACCCTTCTATGTTATCCCTCCAACAGATATCAGAGTGGTTAAAGTGCCCCATAAGGACCAGGGCCTGGGATTGTGATGCTTATTCCAGTTATCTGAAGAAGGCCTCTGCTACCACTTCCTCCTGCTCAGGAGATCTATAGCAGACATCCACTGCAACAGCAATCATGTTGCTCCACCTGCTGATCTTCATTCACAAGCTCTCAGCTGGCTCCTTACCCAACCCCAGGCACAGCTCCATGCACTCCAGTTGCTCTCTCACATAAAGGGCAATGCAATCTCTTCTCCTTCCTATTCTTACTCCTAAGGAGTCTGTATCCAACCACTGCTCTTGAGCCAACAACCCTACTTGCTCCTTCTTCTGGAGGCACATAAGTGACACTTCTTAGCCTTCTTAATGAGGCTGCTCTCTCCTACTAATCACAGAAAATATTTTTCTTGCAGATACCATTTTACAGAAATCAGATTATTGTCTTGTCATGGTTTGGTTATGAATAACAAAATATTTATCACCATTTATCAGTAACCAACAGGACTACAAGAAAATGTAACTTTAAAACAAATTTACAAAAGGGCTAAAGGATTGTGTTTAAATGCTCCTTTTTTTCCCCTTTTTTTTACAATAAGGACATTTTAGAAAGAGAGGGCCTTCATCTAATTCTATAAGCACAAAAAAACAGGAATCTATGCATATTTTAAACATTTTTAAACAACTAACATGTCCATGTATCAGACATGTACAATATCTAATATTACCTAACAGTTCTTATCTATAGTTCTGTGAAAATAGTGTAGTGAATCCTGTTTTTCTCTTCCTTTACCAACTTGAAAATTCACAGCAATGCTTACCATGTTCTTAATTCATTTACAATCTGAACCAGGAAAGACTTGTGTACCACTAATTCCTCTTGTAGATAAGAACTCCTAGGAGCAAGGCTTATTTTATCTATATTTATCTCTTGTCTATGGCAACTCTGTTTTGTCCTTTCTGACAGGCACCAAATAAGGAATGTCCACATCAGAGATTTTAATTACTAAAATCCTTTTTTTATTGATCACAGGCAGCAAAACAGCTCTTGTGTTAACCTTTCAAAATGTCAACTTAATTTATGAATACAGTGATTTTTTTTTTAGCTCTATTGCTACAGATTATACACATTGTGTTATATTACTGTTACAAAAAGTGTGTTTTAATTGTGCTTAAAACTTGCTGTAATTCATGAGAAGAGCTGCTTGACTGCTTATAGACAATCTAAGCAGATCAGGACATAGGTTTATAGATTTTGTTGGGGCAATACATATTGTATTTGTTCAGATTTTTATGCCAGCCCCCCTCATTCAGATTCTGCACAGACTTTACATTTTTATGTAGCAGAGGCCTGAGCAAAAGACAGGGGCTGCATATAAAAACATTCCTGCAGAATGGCATTTAGACAGAATACAAGCACTTCACATGGCTAACACAAAGTTTAACAAAAATTCTCCCTCAGATCAGGAAGATACTAGCAGTGTTCCACACCTCTGCAAATTGTTTCGCATCATTCCCACTTCATCAGAAAAGACTGACCTGTACCTCACTGGGCACGCAGCCGTTTGACACTACATAATTGGATTACATAGCATACTAGAGCAGAAGCAGAGGTTCTGAATTGTTATGTACCTGTTCTCAGAGGTTTTTATGGTTCACGGACAGTGACCACTAATAAGAAGCTTCAGATCACACATTCCCTGACAAAAGGTGCACCAACCTTTCTCTCGGGACTTGTGAAAAGGGGATTCTGGTGGATTAACGATAACAACAATGTTCTGAAACATTTCTACAGAAAGGGGTGCCACTGATGAGCTCACTCAGAACAAAACAAAATGGCTGCCAGAGGAAAAAAGAAATTGGATACTTGATGTGCTGGGGTTTTTTTATTGTTTAAGCAACATGTATTTTCCAGATTCTAAATCAAATTCAAATCAAATGAAAGACTACCTTCTTTGGGCTACTGGGCCAATGACCTATCCAGAACATTGTTTTTCCTCCTTTGAGTTTCATCAGCAAAAGCAGAAATTATTTGGTTTATTCTCTATGGAATTTCCATGCTAAATAATTAAACCTACAATAATTTGGATGACCAGGGATATTATTTATGTTCTTAAGGCTTTGTGGGATTACGGCTTAATTCCACAGCACTTCAAGGTTACATAAGGTCCTTAAATAATTTCATTAGCACTTTAATGAACGATTTCTTTTTTTTATTCTTTCTTTTCTTTTTTCCCTTATTTTTTGAAGAACATTTCTGCAACAATTCTGCACTTGAGATGTGAAAGAAATGCTTCAACAGAAGTCTCCGTAAAGTCAAAGTCAAATAAAAAACACTGAATTCTTAAGTAAAATCCAAAGGGGAAGAAAAATCAAAACCAAAAAAATGCTACCATTTTCTTTAAACAAAAATATTGACATTGCTATTTAAGCTAAACACAAGTGCACATTAGGAACATTTTCTATTTGTTCTTGGACTGGAAATTAAATGTCTACATTCTTCCTCATAACACTACCAAATGCAAATCCGTGACTAACAAACAAAACATTGTGACTTGTTCTTAAGTAGTTTGCCATTGCATCTATTGTTCCATTTGGTATAGCATAATGTCTGTGTGTTCATTAAGTCCATATTTTACACTATGGCACATATGTCATTTCTCTCCAAAAGCCTGCGAGCCAAATGGGAAAAGTCAATAGCTTTGGTAACACTGAGCATTCCTACCACAACACAGAATGCTTGCTTTGTCCTTTGCATTGTCTGCCTATTATGCAGAAAATCAAATTGCCGATATGTCCTTTTGCTTAAAGCTGTAAATACATAGAAGATCATAGTAAATAGTAGCTCTGCTGCACATGTAGCAGATGTCTACAGTTGTCTTCTTAAGATTCTTATATTGGAAGGCCCTTGAAATAAAAATACTTATGTATATAAATTGGCTTCATTGCTTTCCAAGGCCTGTAAATGTGTGCCACTCTTGAGGGAGAAAGACCTTTTCCTGTTGTTCTGGCTGTGTCTAGAAGTGTATCTCTGATATATTTCAGATCATTTACCTAGAAAATTATGAAAGTAGTGGGAAGGAGGGCACTTCTTCCAACTCATTTACTCGATTTAAGTATCAGGGTATATAAAATTTGCAACACAGAATACAGTTCAAAATTTCTGCAAATATCTCTCCCAGACCAGCTCCAGAAGGACTGGTACCACTAAACTTACCTGAAACAACGATATACAATACACCTGAAGGTGGCAAACTTGAACACAGGAAAGTGTTGGAAATAACCTAACAGGTATAACTAGAGAGCCTCAGATGTCAAGAATTTGCTTACAAGAAAATATTTCCTAGTGGAATCCTGAAAGCCTAAACATGAGATAAGCTCTATGAGTTCTTCTTTTCAAAGCTCACCAGTCTACGTGTTTGAAAGTAAGATCAGGCAAAGCTTTTTTTTTGTTAAAAGTGACAATTTGAAAGGAAAAAATGTCACAGCAAGAATTGACTGTCCATCACTACTCCTACTTCTGAAATCCACTACAGAGGAAGTCACTGAAGGTTATTTTAAAATCAGTGGATGGAGGCAAGAGATGAATTAGAGAGCTGGTATTTAAAATATATGTTCCAGAAGTAAAACTTGTGTTTTTGTTTCACTAAGGTGACATCAGATGTGCAGTGTGTTCAGATTTTACACAATATAAAACTTTGAGGGAGCAAAAACATATTATCAGATAAAAATGTATCATTCTTCAAAGTTTATTCTACTTCAAAGTTTATTCTACTTTAACACAGAAACCACACATGCACACCACAGTTACAGGTTCATCAGTACACTACTGGTCTCTGTTTGACAGAGTGAAAGCCATCATTCTCAGGACAGAGTACCTTCAGTCTTATCTGCAATTGCTAACATCAGTAGTAATGAAATTCACTTAAATGTTTTTTATTTACTTTTAACTTTACTAGTACTGAGACTGGTATTTCCGTTTCATGTCAGCTCCGTGTTAGCCGTAGAGCTACAGCTATGCACCAGCTAACAGCTATGTAACACAATTTGCTCACCAGCAAAACTAGTGAAAATGTGAATGTTTAATAGCATAAATGGAATCAAGAAGATATAAATCACACACTTTCTATACTTTCCTATTAATAAAGAAATGGCTACCGCTTCACCATAAACCACACTGCAAATCATTCTAAATATCCTTGGACAAATCCTCTGATACTGCCAAAAGCTGCTGAAAGCCAATAAAAACAGCTATGAAATAAGAAGTAAGATTTCCAGAAATCCTGAATATGATACATTTATAATGTCTCTTAGTTAGGGTTACTGCTGTCTTACAATACTGGAAAACATCTTGATGCAAAGCTGTGGTAACAGAAATTTTCCTGTAAAACTAGGTGGAGGTTCCCTCAGCTAAAACAATTCCATTCCATTTCTCTGGAGCTCCAACAGCCAAATAAGAAACATATTCACAGAAAACACAGCCAAGAAAAAATATCTACCCCTACCAATCAGCTGCTTTTTAGTTCACAGATAGAATCTAATGCTTAACAAATGCAAAGTTCCCAGTTAAATGTTCAAAGATAGTTGTACAAGGTGAGGCTTCCTTTGAAATTGGTAGCAGAACACTTATTTCTACACAAAAAAACCCCAACTGTGTGTTTCCAAGATAATTAAAGAGAATATATGTAAACATGCAATCAAAGTGTTTATCTCCTCTGGGTCCAGAGAGGAATGTGCTATTAATAAATTATTTCCCCCAATGTCTTTCATAGTCCCGCAATTCCTCAATCTACATGATGTGATACCCATTATATTCAGGAATGTGCTAAAGGATTGGTAGAGTCTCTTTGTTTTTTAAGCAGTTCTGACAGAAGATGTACTGTGCCTGGCTAAACTGCATAGACTGTTTCACAATAAGAAGTATGTCATGTCTTTAGGTGACCAGGCTTCTGCTTTAAAGCTAAGCAGCTCAGATAAGGTGAAAGCTGATAAGGACTCAAAGGATGAGGATGCTGGAGACTGAAAGGATAAGCCTTTTTTCTGCTTTTTTTCCGTTTACCATTTTCATATCTAACTATTTGGGACATTTTTCCTGAATGGGCGTGCAAACATACAGCATTTTGGAAAAATGGAGTAAACATAATACCTGTAACTGGTTTTTTTCACTTCTGTGGCAGAGTAACTTAATGTTGAATCACTGCATAATGGTATTAGTGGCTCTCTAAAGATACTGTAATGACTAGTGAAAATACTATCCTTTTTTGACAGGATTATAGTAGGGCTAGTGGTTATCTAAAAACTGGATGAATTTTCATGTTTACAAGAAAAAGTAGAGGAAAAAGAACCTGTACATTCTGTATATTAAACTCCACTGGGAGGGTCTATATACTGGGGTTAATGTCCTGTACTTACACTAATACAGCTATTTATTTCCACTGTAACTTTTCAGAAGTTACCTTCTCCTTTTAGCCCCTTCCTGTTTTTTTCTTATAGTATTTTGCCAGGAAGAAAAAAATCAGAAAATATTTATAATCTCTTTTATTTACAGTGTTAATAGGGATTAGTCCATTTTCCATGCTTTATGGGTTTATTGCATAGTTCAACAAATTTTTCAGGAAATAACATTCTTCAAAGACCACACATTGTACTCATGCACTAATCATTCCATCTCCCACATTTGCTGCATTTGCGACTGGTTTATTTTGCATCAATTAGCTCAATTCAAGAAACATTAAGCAACAGGTTGATCATACCTTTAAATCAGTCAAAAGAACTTACTTGTTTTCCTTGCTTAGTGAGAAATCCAGTTACTGTTATTAGTTTACTTACAGTCACTGTTCAATATATATTGATAGTTTCTTGGCCTTATCAGTAGCACCCAATTAACATGGCAGCATACATTAGTACAGTTTTAAATCCCCAAATTACTATCAGCTAGATAAGTGGTGGCAAAACATAGCTACTGTAGTATTTTGTGCCATTAGATAATAATTTTTTACGGAGGGCTGTGCATCTAATAAATTACCCATTCTGTGGGTATTTGTGATGCAACATATTATTAAGAATAATCACTCTTCTCTACAACACAGTTTCAGTTCACTTCAGCTGACAAAATTAAATTCCCATATGTCTAGGCTCCTTACTTAGCACAGGTACCACTGTTGAGTTTATCAATTAACTCCAGCAGCTAATATTTGCAGAAAACCAGTGATGATTCAGGTAATAGCAAGGTAATACCAAGACAGAGACAGTCCAAGTCCTTCAGTCAAGAATGAAGTAATGCTTACTGTTTCAGTCTCACACTCTCTCTCTCCTTCCCATCTACCACATCTGTAAACAAAGTGAGCCTTCATCACCTGTACATGTGACTATCATTCCATTGCTTCCAAACACTGACTGAGTGGTAACAATAACAACCCAGCTGTGATACAGTTGTCTTTCCATCTTGGAAAAGGCTAAATCCAGAATTCCCAGTCCAACCTTACTTACCACTCTATATCTTTGAAACTAAGTTTTTATTGGCTGTGGTATCATATATTCTTTTTCAAGATCCTTCTAAGTTTAATGTCTTTCTGAGTAGTCATTCCTTAAAGAAATGCCACTCAAATACATCTCCACTGTGTATGGCCACAGAGTTAGGTCAATTTACCTCAGGTCAAATTCTGCACTATTTCTACACAGTTCAAATGTATGTGCTTTATTGTAGTCCCTCTGGAAAAAAAAAAAAAAAAAAAAAAAAAAAAAAATAAAAGAAACGAAGCAGGTTTTAAAAATACTGCAAGTTGTTAGATAGTACTCAGTTTTCTTCACTCAGGGCATATAAAGAACAAGGTCTTCTGTCACAGAAATATTTTACGTTTCTTCTTCAGAGGTATATTTTCAGATATAATTACAGGAATGCAATTTACAGGACTACTGCAACCTACTAGTAGAAAAGAAGCCTTTTCTCTTCTTTTATAAGAGGGAAAAAGTATGGCATAAAACTCAGTAGTTAGACGGCCCCTGGACTCTGCATCACACCATTTTCCACCAAGAATGGAACACACAAAAAAGAAAATCTTGTGTCAGAGGCTTTGACTACTTTTATTTGAACTGATCAGAGAACGACCTGACCTAGACTGATGCAGTGCGCTATGTGTACAGTATGCTGAGGTTCAGTTGTGCTACACCATACAAGGGCATCAACATTCAGTTAACATATGGACATGTAGTGCTCTACTGACCTGGAGTTCTGGTACATTTGCTGCAGCTGTATGCCACTGAGGAAGGTTCCCACCATTGAAAGAATCTGGGCATAATGCAGCAGTGGTACATCTCAACACGGAGAATAGCATCCTACTGTTCACCCACGTACCTCTAGAAAGCAGTTTTCTTAGAAGCAGGTCAGAAAACCCTTGGGAGACTTGCACTCTCCGGAAGAACAGCTTGCACTTGGCCAGCTGCACAAATGAGAATAAGCAGAACAGTAAGGTGAAGATTCATTCTGGTCTGATAGAGGTGTGTTACTCTAAAATCCTGAGTTATATTCAATACTAAAGGCTGAAATTACTGTCATAAGGAAAAGTTCAACTTTCATTACATGTGTACAGCTACCCAGATACACAAACAAAACAGGTTATTAGTGACAGCATATATAAATATACTTGAATTTCTTGTTTGCCTGAATAGTTCACGTCCTTACCCCTTGGTGAGATCATAATTTCCAGAGATAACAGTACTCAAGTAAATACCATGAGCTGGTAGCTGGATTTCTCTAAATGGTGAAAGCAGTTGCATCCTGTATTAGGTACAAACAACAAGGTTTTCATGCTGGTAGGGTATAGCTCCGTGAGAAGAGGCTGGGGCCACACTGTGCTGGACACAGCCAATTCCAACTGGCTCCAATGGACCCACCACAAAGCAAAGATGTGGCACCTCTGTGAAAGTGTATTTAAAACACGGAAAAAATGATAGGCAGAGGAGGAGAATTATGCACACTATTAAAAATCAAGGTATTAATAAGAATACATTTACAATATTAAGGATTGAGGGAATCAATCCAACACAGGTGGAGAATTACTGAGAGTTAAGAGAAGATTCTTCTGACATACTCAGGAGAAGCATTCTTTGAATTAATTTCTTGCTGTAATGGCTTCCCTTTACCAACAGTAGCTGGCAATTTCTACACGCTTTTCAAACTACCTTCACAGCTAGAACAGTATCTTACCATGTTAGAGATTACTTAAATTTCTCCAATTCCAAGTACACTGACACCCAAAATGTGTTGTTTCAGAAAGGTACATGACCAGGATACACTAACATGTCTAGGATTCAACACAATATGAGAATTTTTGCATCGCAAATCAATTTATAAAACTTGTTAATGGTTCACTGGAACTTCAGGAATTTCTCTTTTCTTTTGTTTAATTCCCTGTTTGGACTGTTCCTGTGAAGTCCAAGATGTTCAGAGTAGGCATCCTGGTAAATATTAGAAAGAACACCATCCTCTTCCCTATGATATAAACATGGATGCTGAAGAGCCCAGAAGTGGGAAAAATCTCACTTGTGACAGGTAACAAAATTACTGTAGTAAAAAAACCAGCATGTCAAGTTGAGGTGAAAATTTTCACATACTGAACAAAAGGATATCCATTTTCATGATGGTGAGTTGCAAGTAACAGAAATTCAAGACATCTGGTGTTTTACCCTAGAGCAACCCACCCTCAGCACATTCAATAAACACAAGATGACAAGAAAACTAAATACATAGATGCATCATGCCAGACATTTTCAAAGCAATTAAACCACATTCTTATCTGAAATACTGAATTAACTTACCATTACCTTCCCTGCTACTTTAACAATAACAAGTTCTAATTCCTAAAGCTCACCAAGGTCTATAGAACTGTTTCAGGAATTAATGGCTCTGAAGCTTCACCATTTTTGAAAGAGAAAAATTTTCACTGCCAAAACCAAGTACCTGTAGGTGACAATACAATTCTCAAAATTAGTTTGTCATTGTGTCTCTGGGCATGCCTTCAAGTATACCACATATAATTGATGATATCAGCTAAAAGGAACGTTTCCTTACACTTCATCTGCACAGCTTCTCACTGCACTACACAGAAGAATTCCAAGTGAACCAACAATATAGCTGTCAGATAAGCTGTAAGAGGTATGAAGAATGCAAGTAGGACCAGATTTCACTACTCAGTGTTCACTTCTTCACGTACCATGATAGAGGAAAATAAATAATCTTCATTTGCATCAGAGACCACTTTGCTCAGAATCACAACATTAAGACTACTCCAATACAGCATATCCTATATGGTCATCATTGTGACATCTTTCTATCTGATCCTTACAGATTTATCTTTACAGATTTTTTTATTGTTAGGAAAATAAATATTAATGTTTAGTTCTTTGATTAAAGTCTTCATTCTTGCTGTTCAATCTTATGGAAAACAAGAACACAGTATTACACCTTGGTAGGAGCCTTTGCAGTATTTGACAATTTACATTCCAGTCTACTTATCTCTAAGCTAAACATCTTCAAGCTGTTGTCTGGCTAGCTGGTAGTTAAGGCTTCCTTGAGATCCGTTGAGGGAAGAGTCATTCCCCCAGTTTGTTAAAATGGTTTTGAATTCCATCTGATATCCCAGTACACTTGTAGCCATTCCTAAATTAGTGACATTGGGAAATTCACCATCTTTTAGAACAGTTTGCAGATTTATCTCCTAACCCCTGTGTTGGGATTCACTTCTGTTTGTGTAATCCTGAAATTAAATAAGACCTCTTGTCTTTGAGAATGCAATTTGGGCTACAAAGATGAAAAAAAGAGAAATATTTGTGCGAAACAGCTAAGTAGCATTGACTAGCCTCCTAGAAACTGTAATTTTACTTGGAATGAACACAGATGTTACCTAAACAATAAATAGGTGCCACAATAAACTCATCTGCTAGGTTTATAAGTGTATATTCAGATGTTAAGCTTCCTGAATTGTCTCCTCGAGAAAAATATAAATCAATATTACCATCTATTAACTATTAAAAGAAATCTGCCCAGGATATTTAGTCCTTTCCCAGCTTTTAATACATTAAAAGTATCAGCGCTTAATCACATAATCATAGAATGGTTTGGAAGGGACCTTAAAGATCATCTAGTTCCAATCACTCAGCATCTAGAGCAAGATGCTCAAAGCTCCCCCCAACCTTGCCTGGAACACTTCTAGGGATGGGGCATCCACAGCTTCTCTGGGCAACTTGTCAACAGAACCTAGAAATTTATGGATACTAAATTTTCAACAGGGTTTATGAAGGAAAAAATTCTAATGAGATTTTTTTAAAGAATCTCCACAGGTTGGTAGGAACACTGCCCAACTGACACTTGGTGTTCCCAAAAATGTCCAAAGGGTGGAGACAGACTATATATAATCTGCAGAATCCCTTAAAAACTTCTAGACCTAAATGTTTTCCTGATAAGATCATTGGAATTGAGCTCAAATTATAGATGAGAAAACATGAAAACAACGGTATTAAGGAGACATGAAAGCAGTGCACAGAAATAGCCAAACCAGCTTTGAACAAAGTAATTTTAGAGATGAAAATCAAAAGCACTCTACCATTTCCAAGCTAATTAACCTGCTGAGAGGCAGAAATAGTATCATAATACTGCAGTACAGGGGCTAAACCAGTATATCAACATGTTATTTTGCTGAGGAGTCTGCTTGATGCTGAGCTAGGAATTTCTGTAATGATGCTGCATTGCAAGTTCTGGATATGTGGTAACGTTCCAAATCTAGGGGAGTGTCTCAGTTTAAGGAGACTGAAGTGTTTTGCTAAGGAGGATGAGTTATGAAGTAGACTAAACTCCTCTCTCTCAGCAATTGTAAATCCGAAATTAAGAGGCTCCAATCAAGGACGTATGGAAAAAGGAAGAAATAACAACCCTTTATTAAAGAATATATGTATATTGGCAAAAACACCAAAAGAACTGAAACAATAATCCTGTACCCAGAAGTCCCCTTCAAAAAGGAAACAGTTCGATACTTGTCTGTCCTCTGGCACGATTCTAATCACGGTGGGCAGGAGCTGTTGGATCACGGGAGGAGCAGAGCCTGCAGTGCTCGGTGTCGGTCGGCAGGGGGCGCTGTTGGGCTCTGGCAGACACTGTGTGGGGGCCCTGGATCACGGGAGAAGCCGAAATGGAGATCACCCCCCCACTGAGGAGGGGAAGGGGAGAAGGGGAGAGAAGGGTGGTTTCTTTCCCACGAAACTCATGAGGTCTGCAGCTGGCTGTGGTCATGACTCCCCCCTTTCCTCATCAAGCACAAACTCTCTGATGAAATCAGAGCAGGTCCAGCTGGCGACAGAGCAGACCGTAGGCAAGACGAGGCCGGAGAACAGCCAGATGACCACATCGAGAGCAAAATGGCCTCAGAGCTTTTCCAGCATACACCGTGCCCCCATTAAGGCAAAAAGTGAAGTGTCACTTTCCAAGGAGAGGAGGGGAGAACAACTCCTCACTGCCACCCCCCCTCCCCCAGCCTTAGAGAGGGATATCAGCCTGGAATGTAGTTCTGGCAGCCAGTTCCTTTTTGTAGGTCAACTGTCCAACACAGAAAACTATCCTCCCCATTCAACATCCCTCTCCCACATTGCAGCAGGGGAAAGAAAATTCCCATTTAGTTTTTTTTAGAGCAAGTAAACCCATGACAGGGAGGACCAGCATTAAAATTAGTTAATAAGCTTTCTGTGTTTTTAAATATTAAATCATACATTATTTCTATTTTTCTACCGTTTAAAAGTCAACTGACAACATGTCTATGTGGCCTTTGTTATATTCTATTTTTCCTCTGAATACAAGGTCAGAGAAAGATATTTTACTGCAAACAGAGAAACAAGTTTAATTGTACCATCTTTCTGTATTTAGTTCAAAAAATTATTATCACAGTGAAGAATTAACAATAGAAAAGATATGCACACTGCAGCTAGTACTGATGTTTATGTTTAGAGTTTAAATATTCAACTCATAAATATAAAACTCAAAACATAAATATGTTCTCTTTTTAACATTACCTTATAACATTTCTTTAAACTTATACAAACATAGAATATCCTGCCTTGAAAAGGACCCACAAGGATCATCTAAGTCCTTGTGGCATTGTACAGGACACCACCAAGAATCCCACCATGTGCCTAGGAGTATTGTCCAAATGTTCCTTGAACTCTGTCAGGTTTCATGCTGTTGCTGCTTCCCTGGGGAGCCTGTTCCACTGCCCAAACACCCTCTGGGTGAAAAACTTTCTCCTGATATCTAACCTAAATCTCCCCTGACACAGCTTCGGGCCATTTCCTCAAGTCCTGTCACTCATCATCAGAGAGAAGAGATCAGTACCTGCCTCTTGACTTCCCCTCAGTGAAGAAGATGCGGGCTGCAATGAGGTCTCCTCTTGCTCTC